TTTTCTGCACCAGCCCAGCCCGGTTCTGCGCCCCTCCCCCACACTCTGAACCTGCCTGGGCTGTTTTGCTACCTGCCCTGCACGGTTCTAAGCGCTCCCAGCCTGGTTCTACGCCAGCACAGTTTGATCTGGCCCGGGTAGCAGTCATTGGTCACGGAGGTCGAGGCAGGATGCACCCTCTGGCTTTCTGGGTCGGGAGAGGTTCTGCACCAGCCCAGCCCGGTTCTGCGCCCCTCCCCCACACTCTGAACCTGCCTGGGCTGTTTTGCTACCTGCCCTGCACGGTTCTAAGCGCTCCCAGCCTGGTTCTACGCCAGCACAGTTTGATCTGGCCCGGGTAGCAGTCATTGGTCACGGAGGTCGAGGCAGGATGCACCCTCTGGCTTTCTGGGTCGGGAGAGGTTTGCCCAAGTATTGTGTTTTAGATCCCGTTTCACTTCGGATTTCAGGGACCAACAATCCCCGCCTCGAGGCCCAGTTTGCTTTGTCAAGTCAATGCCCAAGCAACCTGGGTTGGATGAGAAAACCTGAGTATCTGCCCTATCCGTCCGCAGCCATCTATCCATCGATCAATGGACTTCTTCTGATCAGTGCCAGGTGTCTGGTCAGCAGGCTGGCGGCTTCTAGCTCTGGCAGGCCCTGCAGTTTCCTGGCTGCAAACCGAGGCCCAAAGTTGGGCAACTTTAGAAGTCAACCCCATTTTCAGGGCAGCTCTGCCCACAGCATCTCCCCTGTCACCAACCTTTCAGGGCCTTGGCCTCTCAGGACTGTTTGAGCTGCAGCGCAGGCCACGGGGTCTGAGGTCCAAATGGGGGCGGCACCAGGCCCTGCACATGAACCGCATCGTCAGCAAGCACTTCCCAGGAACTGCGCAGGTCGTGAGACACAAATGAACTCGCAGGAACTGGCAAGTGCCAGCGACTGGAATGGTGCCCATCAGAGAAACCACCCCGCGGACAAAACCAATGTCACCGTTCAGTATCTGGGCTGCTGGAGGCCACCGAACAACAGGGAGTGAGAGTTTGAAATCTGCAAAATGCCCACTAGGCAGAGGCTTTAACTTGGAGAGAATTTCTCCCAGCTTCATCAAAAACTTAGGACTCCAGGGACGGGCGAGATGGTCATGGCCTCCCCAAGAGCCAGGCGTCTTGTACGGCAGGCAGGTTTCAATGCAGGAAGTTCGTAAGAAGGCCAAGACTCTGCGGGCTGCTATGCAGCCAGAGTGTTTCTCCCTACATTTCTAGATAGAAAGAACATTACTCCCTGGCTCTTGCAAACATAACGATCCCTTGTGCGATCAGGCTGGAGTATCAGAGCCAGGCAGTGACATTTAAATTTATACATCTGAAACTCAAATCAACACACGTTATATGATCTGGAAGGGAAAATGCCTAAACTTTGGAAACAAATCCCATTTTATCTTTAACTGCATTTAATTACATAGTGAGCAGAGATAAACAGAATGATTTTGGAGCCTTGGAGACTGGATTTGGAACACTAACCAGTTCTCTGTAACATCCTCGTCTCTCAACACAACGCATAAACTCCGTGGCTCACGGTTAGGCACCCAACCTGTGTTAAAGGCTGGCTCTGGCTCTCACCCTGGATAAACCTGAGCACAGTACTCAGCCCTTCTGTGCCTTATCACCAGGGGCAAGCTATGCAACTCTCTGACAGTGTAGCTTGTTATTTTCCTTCTCTTCTTCTTCCTGTTGCTTTTCTGGGCTGAGGCTGGGAGACAGTAGTGACCGAAGTAGGAGCAGACTTTTATTGCTGAAGGGTAAGTATGTAAGACACAGATTTCTACTTGGTAGGGTTTTACTCCCTCCTCTCGACATTTCAAATGTTTCGCTCCACTCTCTTCTTGTTGCCTGGTTCCTGAGAAGCCCTATGAAGCTCCCATCTTTGTTGCTCTGAAGGTTATCCCCGCTAAAGAGCATAGCACCACCTGTAGGGTTTTGTAGCTGAGGAAGCTCCCCTATTCCTAGTTTGCCAAGTTTCTTTTTAAAATCCTGAGTGGATGTTGGATTTCTATCAAATGCTTTATCTGCATCTATTTATGTGATCTTGTGTGCTTTTTTCTTTCACCTATTGACACGATGGAGTCCATGAATGATTTTCTAGTGTTGAATCGTAGAATAAATCTTGGTTCAGGTGAGCAAATTTGTTGAATTCCACTCCCTGTTTCACTGAGGAGTTTTACAGCTATGTTCATGACAGATATGGTCTACGGGTTTCTTTCCTCCGAACGTTTCTGTTTGGCTTTGGTATTAGGAGTACCGCTCTCCTAGAATGAGCCAGGGAGGACTGCCTTTGCTCCTATCTGCTGGAAGAGATTTTAGAGAATTGGCCTGGCACGGTTGGTGCCTCATGTGGATTTAGAAGAAATACTCAGTCATTATATTTTAAATATTTCTTCTGATCCTTTTTCACTTCTTCTCCTCCTGGTATTCTCATTATATATAATGTGTGATATTTTCATAGTTGCTCCACATTTCTTGGATATTATGTTCCATTTTTCCCCCAGATGTTTTCCACATTTTGGAAGCTTTTATTAACATATCCTTGAGCATAACATAACATATTCTTTCCTCAAATATATCCAGGCCAATAACGAGCCCAGCAAAGGAGTTCTTAATTTCTGGGATATGTGGGGTTTTTTATTGTTGTCTCCAGCGGTTGTTATTTATTCTTCCTTAGAATTTCCATTTCTCTACTTTCATTACCCATTTGTTCTTCACAGTCTCTGTTTTTTTCCTTTACAGCCTGTAGCATATCAATCATAGTCATTTTAAATTCTTGGTCTGTGAAGTCCGGTATCTCTGCTGCATCTGAGTCTGGTGTGATGCTTGCTCTGTGTCTTCAAGCTGTGAGTTTTGCAGTGTGCCTTGTAATTTGTGGTCACGAGCTGGATTTGGTATACTGGAGAAAGGAACTGTACCAAGAGGACTTCAGGAACGTGGTGCCAAGGTGTGAAGGGAGAGAAGAACTCCTACAGACCCATGATTAAGTCTGAGGCCTGGTATGCCTGTGTCCCTGTGTTGTGGGAAAGTGAGGCAGCTCAGTGTTATAACCAAGGATTACAGCTCTGTGTTACAGCTACAGTGATGTGAAGACATGAGAAAATTGAAAGTCACTTGAAGAAGTGGAAGAAATCCAGCTTTATTAGCTGACTGGCCCAGAGGAGTTTAATCATTCCAAATTCTGAGCCCCAGGTAGAAATGTGGGCAGTCTTATTTAGAGATATGTGGGGCAGAGGGGTGAGCCCACCTATGGGGCGAGCATGCTCATGCACGTGGGTGGGCAGTTAACAGAACATTCTAACACACCTTAGATAGAAGCATGCAGCATGTACAGTTACATTTCTTGAACAGAACATTTTATTGCAAAAACACGGGGGAGGGAGGCAAAGGCCTGCCCTCTTGTGCATTATTTCCTTATCACCTGGGCTGTGAACTTCACAAATACTTCTCAGTTTTAAGTTTTCCTGTAGTGGGACAAGATGCCAGAGCCCAGGGTTGGCTATTTCCTTTCCCCTAATTTGGTTAGCTCTGATAAAGCCCCATAGTTCAGGCTCTGGCAAAGTCCTTTGCCTTAGGGCAAGCCTTGTTAAGACAACAGAATACTCAGGCAA